CATAATCAGTTAGGTGGCTTGAATACTATTCTCAATAGCTCCAATGACATTCAGAATAATACCTAGGCTAAGACAGATGTCTACGAATGATTAAATAAATTTTCCTGTCAATGTTATTGTATGTCAAATAACAAACCTCTTGATATGTAAGACAACTAAAACGTGAGACAGGCATAGGTTGAAAATACAATTTAAAGTAATTTGTCAAGGTTTATTTTCCAATATGTTCTGTCTTGGATCTCTCTTATGATAACCTGGTTATTTCTTCTGCGCTCTCCCGTCTGCATTAGCAGAGCTGAGACAAGAGCTCTCCTTCTCCTGCACAGCCCTCCTGGGACGATTAGGCTTTGGGGTCAGCGAGACATTGCACACTCTGTAAAATACATTCTTAAGCTCATGGACTCGTGAACCTCTTACATTTTTATTTCTCTGCTTTCATACAAACATGACATTCCTCTGTCTTCTCTATTATGAAATTGTCCCATGATGCTTCTCTGTAGGAATTTTTATTTGTAACTTTGAAAAATCACATAGTAGTTGGAATGTGTTAAAATTGGACTATTTTTTGAAATACCAATAATACAATTTCTTTTTTTCTTCTAACTCAGTCCATTAAATCAGATTCTGACATTTTCTGAGGAGGATCTGTATTAATTAAATCTGGTTTCTTTTTTTTTTTTTTTTCCTTTTTGTCTTTTTTCGTGTCCGGCAATGGACTACAACCCTCAGTGTCACGCCCGTACCGGACCGGGACCGGCAACGGGATCGCAACCCTTGGTGTTGCTCCTGCACCTCGCTCAGCCATTTAGCGGGAACCGGTCTGTACGTGGGATCCGAACCCTCAGCGGGAGCGCCACCGCACTCCCAAGCGGCGCACTGTAGCAGTGCGCCACCGGGCCGGCCCCTAAATCTGGTTTCTTACACAATGTTTTTGTGGCATTTTTAAAATTTGACATCATCTCAAGTGTAAAAGTTTCTTTCTTTGTCTTGTCATGTGACATTTTTGACATTGTCACTTTCGCAATTCCTTGCCTCACTTGCCTCAACCGTCCACTGGCCACTTCATCCTGTCTGCCTTGCTGTAGTGTTGTACCTGGAACACATTTCTAATATTGCTCATGCACAGACTTTTATTATTACTCTTTCATATTCAATTTGGTTTTCTGTTCACACTAGGCTTAAGACAGTGTTTTTTTTTTAATCTTTGTGTATCTACAAAGATCTTGTGTAACACAATGCAGATACACCATAAGCCCCCAGTAAATGTTGATTGAATGAAGAAAGACAGATGTATATTCAACCAAGTTATGTGATTACAATTTCTGAGTCAGCTAGACAGACCCTAAAATAAAACATTATGCCATTGCCTACATTACTTCAAAGTGGAAGAAGAAGTCAAGCACTGTTGATTCCCAAAGATTGGTTTGTTTACACATTCTTATCAATGCCGCCTTGGTTCTTTCTATTTAATGTCAGGAACATCACGAGTATGTCACAGGTGGAATTTGTCTGTAAGTAGCACCAGATCTTATAGTAGATCTAAAGTTTTATAGCCAGTGGGAGGATTCTGAGAATAAATATTATTAAGGATTTATATCTATCTTGAGCCCCTTTAAGTCCATGAATAAGACACAATATTGTATTCTTGATAAGTATAAAATGAAATGAAGTTAAGCAAAACCTTAAACATAATAAAGGAAGCCACCACACAGATGCAGTTCATTTATTACATGGTTACATACCAAATGGCACTGGCCTAAAAATTTCTTGCCAAATATTTAATTTTATAACATACTGTCAGAATAAAGGATTTCAAGATTTCAAGATTACTTTTAAATAAATGCTGTTAATTAAAACTGAGAAAAAATTTCAGGCTTGCCTTTAACCCGACAAATATTTATTGAATACCTACCATGTGTTAGACACTATTCTAGGTACTTGGAACATGGCAGTGATCAAGCTTTCTGTCTGTAAAGCTTACACTCAGTCCATTTTCATTTTCAACTGGAAGAATATGAAAGGAATAGTAGTTTGCTTCCTAAATGCACTAATAAATATATTGTTTGCATTTTTCTGATATATTTAATGATTTCATTAACTGGATTTTACATGAAAGAATTAACTTAGTAAGGAAAGAATATATGAGTTCTTTATGTATTTTTTCCAAATAGTNTAGGTCCAGAAAACTTCATCTGGGAAGCAGAAAAGATGGTGGAGATACCCCAAGTCAGGAGTGCTGAGTACTAGTCCCAACACTACTAAGTGCAAAATGCAGTTTAAAATTCATGTCCACTGATTCACTGACAAAGAAGTTTATTTGATTACCTAGGAAATTGTGAATGTATTGACATCACCTTTTGAACATATTATCACATGTCTTGGTGCAGGAAAAGGAACTGAGATGAAGCACGAAGCTGTCGATAAAGTCACCACAAACCCCATACGTAAGTGAAGATTGCTAACCTATATTTCAAGGAATGACACAGAGAGAGAAGCTCACACTGAAAAAGTGGGTGTTCCACTGTCATTTCTTGCTCCAAAACACATTAAGCCAAGCCACAATTAATTTGAAAATTGTTGAAATTTAATAAAAGTGAGCACGCCCTTTCTATGAGCTTGACCACAAAAGTAAGCACCAGCAAGACCATGCGCTTCAGATGACTTCCAAGTGAGTGCGTCAGTGCCTTGTCTTCAATGTCTCCTCTTTGCCCTGCTATTTTTAAAAAATAAATTACACACAGATTACAGCCATTATAGCAATTATAACAACCTTTTGCTTGTTTTCCCACCCTCTGTTTCTCTGTCTTTGGTTTTCACCTTTTTTCAAATCCCATTGTCCTTCATCTGCCTTCAAGGTCTTCCAGTTTCTTGCATTAGAAGACGAGAGAATTGTAGATCTCTTCACATAGGCAGGAAATGTTGGAGGAGAATTGGAATTAGAAGTGGTGGAAAGGACAGTTTGGGACTGAATGGATTAGGTAGCAGTGGGGCAAATGTGACCATGATTTTTAATATGGAATTGTTTTATAGATCTAGGGCTCAGAAGAGAGATTTTCTGTGACAAAATAAGAATATACATGATAGTTAAACTCCATATGTACATGAGATCACTAAGATGATCAAGTAAAGAGAAATGAGTACTGAGCACAGAGTGAGTACTCTATTTGCTGTTTGTGGTGTCCTCAATAGAAAATCTATTAGTAGTATGTTTGTCATGATGGTCATGAACCAATCCTTTTAGATTGTGAAATTCTTTTATTCTTGGTGCTTATTATGGATTCTAACTCTCCATTTCAAAACTTATGTTAAAGAGAGATATTCCCAGAAACTTTCAGGCAATCAAAAGGCAGCTCAATGGATGAAAAATTTCCAAAATAAATATTTAAAATAGATTGTAACCCTCACCCATCTCCAGGCTAAGAAAAGAGGTCTGCTTTTGTAGAAGGAAAGTACGATTGGAGTGGCAGTCAGAGAAGAAATACTGGAAGGGACCTCAGATCATAGCTGAAGCACTCATTTACTACGAGAGGAAACAGAGACAAAGGAAGGTGAAGAAGCTTACCCGAAGTCTCTTCCTTATAATTGGCAGAAATCTCAACCCACGTAGTCTGAACAGCAGATTTAAAGAAAAACCTTTACTAGAATTCTGATAATGCTGGGTGTGCTCCCTGTAGCCAAGTGTCAAAACAAAGTCCCATTTCACAATCTCAAATTAAAAGTTTTAAAATTTCAATTAAAGTTTTACTTAATTGAGAAAGAAAGGAATGGTCAGGTATTATTT